CAGCATCTTCAAACATGCTCTCCATGGGTTTGCTCGTGGGTTCTATCTGATCTTTAAACACCTGGAACCAAAAATAAATCACTTTATCAAAAATAATATAAATATCTTTCCTAAAATATCTAAAATATCAAAAATAGATAAATTATTATGGTTAATATAAAACATGCAGGGTTCAAATATTAAATATGCAAACACAGAGTRTTATGATTGATACAATAAATACTGTTTGTCCATGATATCTAGTAAATAAACTGTATCATTACAAAACTGAAGTTGATTTTCATATCAGTGTAGTCAGTTAGAACCTGGTCAATTGAAGGATGTGCTTTGCTCTTCCTCTTAGAGACGGTGTCCAGACCCCAGAGGGACGAGAAGCGGCTGCGGCGTTTACTGAAGGTACGAGGCAAGGCCTGGTTTCGCTTCCTGATGCTGCTTTCGGTACGAGCAGAAACCTGTGACAGTGGTGAATATGAAAAAAATGCCTTTAAACCGTGAATATTCCTAAATCTGATAATACCCTCACTTTGTAAGGGGAAAACATTTGTTTCAGTCACAATTAAACACACAATATATGCTAACAATCAACTATTCYCTATTAGTTTCCTTTGGAAAAAAGGGTTAAATAAAAACATTTTCAGTGGTGTAATCTATGTATTTATAACATGAACGCTTCTAACCCCTGATTTTGTTCAGTGACTTACTGCATGAGCTCTGAGTAAAAAAAAATAATTTGACATTTCTGGGTTAATTCATACTCAACTGCTGAACTATACAGCTCAGACTCAGCTCTGCATATATAGTGTATGCACACACAATAAATATAACATTGCTGTGTTGTGGTGTGTCTGTTCTGCAGTCACTGTTCGTGAGATGCAAACACTTAAACACAACAAATCCAACCTGTTTGTAAGGTGTTTTTTTATTGTTTTGTTTTGAAGCTGCACGTGAGAAGCTATTTTACAGCCAGTGTCTTTTCACCAAAGATAATAACAACCCAGTGAAAAGCTGGGAATTATTGTAGAATATAWATATTAGGGGTGCAACGATACAGAAAATTCCCGATTCGGTTTGGTTTGATACTTGAGTCTCACAGTTCGATACTTTTTCAATACAAAAAAGAGCTGTGTTGCAGTGCTGTCTGTTTTGCAGTCAATTTTCCATGCCCTTTTTAACTTGTAAATTATTTAAATTAATTATAAACATTTGTTTAACCTCAAAACTCCAGTTTTTAAATTAAATGTTGCTGAAACAGCAAGTTTCTCGGTGGATCCGCACTCGAAAATGCAGCCTAGGTGGAGTAGTCGAACACAGATAAATTGATCCTTCAACACAGAGCATCTTCAGAAGACAAGTTGATAAAGAAAATTTTAAAAATCTGTATTGTTCCATACAAGTGTGTATTGAACCTGAAGCACTGTATTGGACGATTTGATGGGTACATGTATTTTTGCACCCCTAAATTACAATATATATATA